TGAAAGCAAAGCAGATTCATCAGCTAAGGTAACGAATACAACAAAGATACTAAAAGCCATACTCTAGAGAGTTTCAACTATACTAGAGTAAAATAGTAGTCGAGATTACAGCAAGAACAGAGAATTCAATTAAAAAATCAACCATTATACATGAAAAGCTATAACTTAGGAACCTATAAATAGAAATCTTAAAACGACTAGAGGAAACAACAAAGTCGAGGAAAGAAATTACCTCTTTTCAGACAGCGAATCGAGACGAGAGAGAGCTTGGATACGACTTCTACCACCAACGGAGAGTTTCGAGAGCTTCAGGTAAATGTTCGAATCAACTTTGAATATAAAACCCCTTCAAGAGTTTCGAACTAGACGAGTATTCAATCTTTCTTAAACATAGACCTCAATTTTCTTTTGTTTCTCCTTGTACTTTCAATATTTTCTCTGATTTCTGCCTAAAAAATTTTGAACTCAAAATTTCAACTCCCACCAAAAAATATTCTTTTAGAAAAATCCCCTTTAACCCTACATATGCTTAAAAAACTAGGGTTTTTGAGAGGGGGAAAGGGATAGGTCGAGGTTAAAAAAAAATCAAAGTCCCCTTTAAAATTCGAAACAAAGAAGTCAGCTGGGTTTCTCGTACGAGATTCAACCCAAATCCCGCATTATCTGGAAAAGGAAAAGAGCACTGGACGATTCTTATCAAAGCTACCGTCCACTCGCGCTACGTGTCTCTATCTCACAGTGGATAGGACGAATAATAGTAGGCATAGGGTCATGTTACGAGGTAGATAAAGGAGAAAGGAGACGTTAGGGTTCCTTTCGTCTATCGTCATCACGATTCATGAACTCGCACTGCGTGAAGCGCAGCGGCGCGCATAGGGGTTTGGGGATGGCCTTCACGCGTGCTACCATTAGTTGTCATTTTTTCCAAAAATGTAGACGTTGGAACGTCATTTGCTGGGAAGTGTTGGGTTTTTTATGTGAGGAAAAAGAAGGTGGGTCGGGTTAAAAGGTGTGGGATGATTGGTGGGCTGAAATTAGTTGGGTTGTTGTAAAATAGTTTTGGGTCGATTTGGGAAATAAATGTTTGATATTGGGCTGAAAATATATAAAAAGAAAAGAGGGCCCGATTTATTTTAAACAAATTCAAAAGGCTAGATTTTGAGTTAATGGCTTGGCCAAAAATGAAAATTTAAAATTCCACCAAGTGGAGTTAATTAACAAATTCGATATCAATTAATCAACGAGCTTCATAATTTAACGAGATAAGATAAATAATCTTAATCATAAACTAAAGACTCAAATCCATGCACTACTAATTTAAGCGAAATTTAATTTATTAAAGTAAGTAAAACCAAAATCCTTTTGAGATGACTTTCGAAGATTTATAAAATAAACTATATATACATAAAATTATAAGCATATATGTTACTTAAACAAGAAAAACTAGTAAATTTAACTATAATAAGGATCTGAACTACAAGTCATTAAACCTAATTTGATAAAGCACTAAGTAAAACTAAAAAGTTTTTGCGACGATTTTTGAATATTTCATAAAATAAACTAATTGTAAAAAAAACATATAAAAATATTCATTACTTCCAAAACTATAAAAGTAGACTAAAATTAATTGAAAATCATTTGAATCTTATAAAGTCGACTATTTCAACTCGTTAGAAAATTAAGAAACTCAAAAAATAATTGTTATCGAAAAGGGTCAAAATTCGGGTGTCAACAATTATACCTCATATTACTTGGATTGCACAAGAAATTTGAGGAAAATGAAATTGACCAAACCCATTTTGACCTACCAGTCATTCATCTTTAAGCAAGGGATTTGGTACAAACTTTAAGAAATTATGGCCGAACCCTGGAAATGGATTTCCTACATATCTCAGGCTATACGAGAATTTAGGACCCCAGTAGTTCAATATGCTTGATTTAACACGGAATTTTGAAAGAATTCAAAAGTCATCTCGGTACTGAATCATAAAGGAATTGAGATGCTCAAGAATGGGATTTAAAAGTGAATGTTGGAACACAGCTGAGTTTTCAACATTGAGTCCGCCTAAATATCCTTAAACCTAAGGAATCAGGCTGTTTGTAGTTCAACTCGATAGATTGAAAGGGAAATCTAAAGGTAGATAACCTTTGGTTCTGGAAGAGTGACACATAAAGTTGAGTAATAAAACGGAGGCTTGTAACCTTATAACCATGAATGTGGAGCTCTTCACATCCATAGGTAAGAACTTACATGGACATAATTTCCAAAGCTCTTGGCGCATTGTCACTAGCTTCCGGCAGATACCAAAAATTCGGATGCAAAACTAAAACTGACAATAGCCAAAGAAAAAACCCACAAGCCTTGATAAGGGTGTGGTTTGATTGTGGTGGAAGTCTCTCCTCTGCTCGCGTCCTAAGAGTTACACATTCCTCTTTGGACTATGTCCCAGTTCGCTGCTTAGAAAAAGTTCCATGTTTTGCTGCATCCATTTTGATGTCGTCCACACCTGGGTTTTTTTTTTGGAGAATTCATCCTTTTGGATGCTCTCGACAAAGACTTGTATAACCCTCATCATCTTAAAAAATGCAATTCAAATGGGAGACAGTGTATTTTACCGTTTTGATACTTAGTTGTTCTCCTTCTACATTCGACGTCAACTCCGTTGGGTTTGACGTAAAGCAAATAAAACTTATGTCTTATGTTTGCAATATAATCTTCAATATACTCTTCATTTGATGTAGAAATAAATAAACACTGATGCCTTGTGCTTATATTTCTCTTGATGTCGTCTTCGATGGTTCTTTTGGCGTCTAATCTCGCTAAATAAACTACAATTGATGTCGATGGGTAAATATTCCTTTTGAGATGCACAATTTCCTTTTCAAGCAGTGCATGACTTCTTGCGGGGCATGAATATCTTTCCGCGATGCACAATTTCTTGGGGGCATGAATATCCTCTCGTGATGTATAAATTTCCGCGAGGCATGTGTATCTTCTCGCGATGCATGATTTTCTGCTAGGCATGAATATCTTCTTGCGATGCATAACTTTCTGCGATACATGAATGTCATCTCACAATGTATGAATATCAACTCGTGATGCATGAGTATTAACTTGCTATGCATGAATATTGACTCGCAATGCATATTCTTTCGTGATGCATGAATATTGACTCGTGATGCATGATCTTTCGCGATCCATGGATATTGACCTGCGATGCATGATCTTTCGCAATGCATGGATATTGACTCGCGATGCTTGGATCTTTCACGATGCATGAATATTGACTCGCGATGCATGGATCTTCCGCGATGCATGGATATTGACTGGTGATGCATGATCTTCCGCGATGCATGGATATTGACTCGCGATGCATGGATCTTCCGCGATGCATGAATCTTCTGGGTGCCTTCTGGATAATCATATCGGCTCAATTGATGATAATGGTAAAATGACTTCCAGATAGTATATCGTCTTGATCGACAATAAAACAAATGACCCCTCCGACTAATGTATGGTCTTCATCGACAATAAAATAAATGACCCCTCCAAGTAATGTATTGTCTTCATCGACAATAAAATAAATGACCCATCCGGGATTATCTTGATCAACAATAAAATAAATGACTCATCCAGGTAATGTAATATCATATCTGACATAATGATACAGATGACATCCTTTACGGAAACCGAAAACCGTAAACTCTTTCTTGAGATTTTCGCTTGATTCACCATCAAATCTAGCTGGACGTTCCTTATAGACTTCATGTTGTTGGAGAATGATTGAAATAAACCATTCATATTCCCAAGTCTCCAGTATAAGAAATATAAAATAATTCATGTGTCCGTCAAAAATTAGTAAATTAGGGAATGTTTTTGCCCCCTTGCCTTATCATATTTGTCAATCGGAGAAATTTGATGATTTCTGAGCAATACTATAAATCTGCATCCATAGAAAAATCGTTAGTTTTAAAACGGACTGATCTGTGTCAATTCCCCAATTGTCTGCTCCTCGTCCTGCTATATCCGGTTGGTCTTGCTGATCTCCCAACTCTTGATGGATAAGATAAAACATTTTATGCCAAAGTAGATGAAACGTAAAAGGAAAAACTTTAAGAAAATAAATTTTTGAGAAGAAGTATTTTGGAAAGATGGTTACTGCCGAGTATCATGTCACGTCAGGGTTAGCGGACTTCTTTGAGTCTGATGGTTGGAGGCATATCTAATTATTTGTTAGGGAGTATTCAGGGCCACTCTAGACTGTTGATAAACCCATGTTGAAATTTTGAGGTCATCCTTAAAATTTCTATCCTAGTAAACTTCATTGGCTTATCCTTGACAATTATTGGTGAGGAAATCATGAAATTTTTTAGATTATCTCAAAAATTTTGTTCCTGTTGCAAATTTCAAAACATCTTCAGTCTCGGCTTGTTGAGGAAAAATCTTCTTCTTGAAATTTTTAAGTCCCTCTCAAAAAATTCTGTCCCGGTTTCTATTGTAAAGAAAAAAATAGAAATCTTACGAGAAATATGACCGAACCCTTGTGACGCTTACGTATCCTGTTGAGGCATGAATCAGGTCAAACGTAGTTGCCCCTCAAGGGTTAATGAAATAAGAAATTTACAAAGAAAACCGACCGAGATCGACATAGGCCGCCTACGTATCTCATTCTTGAGAATTCAGATCAAACATAGTTCATTAGAAAGAAATTACAAAGAAGCGGAACGATTACAAGTAAATAATAGAAATGTAAACTGAAGCTTCACACATAGTATCTCTTGACAGCATCTGAATTGATCGATTTCGGCCATGCGGTGCCATCCCTCCGAAAGGACCAAAGCACCTCTAGATAATACTTTGTGAACCATGTAGGGTCCTTGACAATTTGGTGCGAATTTTCCCTTGTAATCATCCTGATGAGAAAAATGTGTTTAAGTACAAATTGACCGATTTCAAAGATTCTAGCTATGAATCTCTTGTGGAAAGCACGAATTATTCTCTATCGATAAAGTTGACCATGAAAAATGAAAACCATTCTCTTCTCGTCAATCAAAGTTAACTGATCAATTCTCTTTCTAACCCATTCATCAGGTATGACTGCCTCAGTTCCATATACCATTAAGTATGAAGTAGCTCCAGTCAATGTTCTAACAGTCGTTCGGTAACCCAATAAAGCATATGGCAACATCTCATGCCAACCTCGGTGATTCTCAATCATTTTCCTCAGAATCTTCTTGATATTTTTATTGGCGGCTTCTACAGGCCCATTCATTTGAGGACGATAAGCGGTTGAGTTTCTATGAGTGATCTTAAATTGCTCACATATATCTCTCATCAAGTGACTATTGAGATTTGCACCATTACCATTCATGATCGACTCTGGTACTCTGAACCTGCATATCAGATTATTTTGAATAAAATCAACCACAACTTTCTTTGTTACCGACTTGTATGAAGCTGCTTCCACCCACTTCGTGAAATAGTCAATGGCAACCAAAATAAATCTTTGTCCATTAGAAGCAGTTGGATCTATCGGACCAATAACATCCATTCCCCAAGCTACAAATGTCCAAGGTGAACTCATAGCATTGAGTTTGTGAGGTGGTACTCGAATTAAATCACCGTGCACTTGACATTTCTGCACAAACATGCAATAGTCATTCACCTTAGTCATCAAGAAATAACCGGCTCGAAGGATATTTCTTGCCAAAGTGAGACCATTCATATGTGTACCATATACTCCAGATTGAATTTGTTCAATTCGCAGTTCAATAGCATCGACACATCTAAGAAGACCCAAATCCGGAGTCCTTCTATATAGGATCTCTCAGCTTAGAAAGAAATTGACATCCATACAGCGTATTAACTTCTTTTGGTTGGATGTGGCATCTTTAGGATAACTACCGGTCTCTAAGTACCTCTTTATATAAAAATACCATGGAAAACCATTTGGTTCTGCTTCAACGTGTGAACAATGGACCGAATGTTCTTTCAACTCTATATCCAGAGGATCGATATAATCAATATTTGGATGCTTAATCATAGAACCGATGGTGGTGAGAGCATTAACCAACTTATTCTGTATACTGGGAGTATGTTTAAACTCAATCTTGCAAAATCTTTTGCACAACTTCTGTACATACTGTACGTAAGGTATAATCTTTGGGTTCTTCATGGCCCATTCTCCCTAAACCTGATGAATCAACAAATCTGAGTCTCCAATAACCAATAGCTCGTGGACAATCATGTCAATGGCCATTTTCAAACCGAGGATACAAGCTTCATATTCTGCCATGTTGTTCGTGCAATTAAATTGGAGCTTAACCGCCATGGGATTGTGCTAACCAGATTTTGACGCTAAGACCGCCCCAATACCTTTCCCTTGATGATTTGCCACTCCATCAAAGAATAGTCTCCAACCTGGATATGCTTTAGTAATATCTTCACCCACAAATGACACTTCTTCATCGTTAAAATAAGCTTAAGTGGTTCATACTCTTCATCAACGGGATTTTTTGCAAGATGATTAGCCAAAGCCTATGCTTTTATCGCTTTATGAGTCATGTACACATTATCAAACTCACTCAACTTCATTTGTCACTTAGCTACTTTTCCGGTCGGCATCGCCTTCTGGAATATATACTTCAGCGGGTCCATTCTGGAAATGAGGTGTGTAGTATAAGAAGATAAATAATGTCTCAACTTCTGTGCAAGCCAACTCAAAGCACATCATATTCTCTATAACAGAGTGTAACGAGAATCGTATGGACTAAACTTCTTGCTTATGTAATAGATAGATCTTTACTTCTTTCATGTCTCGTCGTGTTGACCGAGTATGCATCCGAATGCACTATCTGAGATGGACAAATACAGCAAAATAGACTCCCTTCTCCTGGCGGAACCAATGCCGGTGGATTTGACAAATACTTCTTGGCAGCACCGAAAGTAGTCTGACATTTTTCAGTCTAGTTTGTCAGAGCTTCCTTCTTCAACAGCTTAAAGATAGGCTCACAGACCATGGTTGATTGATCTATGAATTGACTGATGTAGTTCAACCTCCCTAAGAAACTCATCACCTCTTTTCTCGTCTTCGGCGGAGGTAACTCTTGAATTGCTTTAATTTTAGAAGGATCGAGCTCAATACCCCTTTTGCTGACTATAAATCCCAACAACTATTTAGCTGGAACTCTAAAAGCACATTTGGTGGGATTTAGCTTCAATTTGTAACGCCGCAAACGATCGAAGAACTTCTTCAAGTGTGTCAAGTGGTTCGAACTCTTGCAAGATTTGATTTTGACGTCATCTACATACACCTCGATATCCTTATGAATCATATCATGAAATATAGTCGTCATAGCCCGCATATAGGTAGCATCAGCATTTTTTAGGCCAAATGGCATCAACCTGTAATGATATACTCCCCAAGGTGTAATAAAAGTTGTGTTTTCTGCATCTTCCTCGTCCATCTGAATTTGATGATACCCTATGTAACAATCCACAAATGACTGCATTTCATGTTTATCACAGTTATCAATCAGAATGTGAATGTTCGGCAATGGAAAATCATCCTCTGGGCTGGCTTTGTTGAGATCCCTATAGTCGATGCAAATTCTGATTTTTCCATCATTTTTGGTGACCGAAACAACGTTAACCAACCAGGTAGGATATTGAGTCACTTCTACCAGACGAGACTCAATCTGCTTGTTAATCTCTTCTTTGATCTTTAAACTAAATTCAAGCTTGAACTTCCGAGCCTTCTGTTTCACCAGACTAAACCCTGGATTAATCGGTAATTTTTAAGACACAACACTGGTACTCAACCCTAGTATATTGCTGATTTCCTATAGGAACACATCAATTTAATTGGTGAGTAAATGAATCAGGCCCTTTCTTTGATATTCATTCAAGTGGGCGCTGATTTTGACCTCTTTGACACACTCTTGGTCTCCCAGATTTACAGTTTCAGTTTCTTCTAAATTTGCCTTATGCTGGTTTTCAAACTGTATAAATTCTTCAGCAACATATTCTGGTACCTCACTTTTTTCCTCATAAACGTCAATCTTTTCATCACCAGCCTCCTTTTGTTTGTTCAGCTCGCGACTTGACATGACATAGGCAGGTTTAAAACTTACATTACTGAAACCATAAACAACAAAGTTAGGAAATCAAAGTATAACAGATGAGTAAATAAACAAATTTTAAAATATAAGAGGCTTTCATTCAAATAGGAAATAATGAAAACTTTGGCTATGGAAAAGGGCCTTGTTTCCTTTTTCAAACATCACGGGGAAATTTTAAAGTTCAAGAAATTAAGAAAATACAAAATGGTGGGTCTCGGGTCTCTTTCAGCCCACCGCCGATCTAAATATGCATAAATGATGCCTTTCTACCAAGGATTTTGGAGAATCAGAATCAACGTGGAGGTCCAATTCTGTAGTATCTCCCGGGGATCAGCTGTATGGATTCCAGCTAGCTCGACCTCTTCCTTAATAACAGCATCGATCTCCTCAAAAAGGCTAAATATTCCTTCCATAAGGTCGTCATGCTCGGCATACTCTTGGACTGGGAATGATTGATACAAATATGGGATCAGCTTAGCCAATGCTTGATCATTCTTCTTCTTCGTCTTCATATCCTCATTTGTGGGGATGTACCCCAATCCATACCTTGCCCATTAGACAGGAACTTGAATGGGATCAACAATTCCTTGTGAATTCCTTCCCAATCCAATGCCTGGTTCAAATCTACTTTGCAATATCACAGTAGCAATCATCTTATACACAGAAGGCATGAGAGGTTGTGGGGCCAAGTCTTTACCGATGGCATTTACCAGCTCCACCGTGTAGAAATTAGTATCTCGAGAGACTTCATTGATAATTAGTGCCTTTTTTCCAAAATGACTACCTTCGCCAAGAATTACTAGCTCTTCGTACTTCGAAATGAGTTTCATCATCTGATGCAGGGTAGAGGTCACAGCTCCAACCATGTAAATAAAAAGCCTTCCCAGAAGAAGGTTCCACTGAATTCTGTTCGAATCATTTGGATTATCACATTGACCGCTCCTAACGTATCTCTTTGTACTCCATCGAAGGCTCTTACATTGACTTGGTTTTGTTCCAGCTTTCCCAAGTGAAACTTTAGCTGCCTCAATGTTCACAACGGGAAAATGTTTAGACCTGATCCATCGTCCACCAGGACACGATTTATGATCTTCTCGCGGCATACGACAATGATGTGCAATGCCTTGTTGTTTGACCTACCTTCAAAAGGTAATTCATCGTCATAGAAACTAATCTGATGCCCTCGGATAAGTTAGTTAATCATAGCAGCCACATATCGCTACTTGTTCCAACGGGCAATATGTATCATCAAATCCTGCATGCGTAATTAAAAACTCAGCAAGGCCCACACCAAAATTTGGGCTGGAGTCTTCTCCAAATGCTTGATCATAGAATAATCTTTCGGCTGCATTCTTCTCCAGAAATCCTCTACCTCACCCTCAATTATTGGCCTTTTATCTTGATCCTTCTTTTGACCTCCGAAATCAAGCTCCTCATGAGTAACATCTTTCGGATCGGGTCATACCTTGTGCAGCAGCAGCCTAATCACAAATTTTGGCTTGATAAGAGTTTTTTATGGAACCAAGGCAACAGTCTTTGCGGGTGTCAAGATAACGAAATCTTTCTTCTCTTTGATGCTTAATGAAACTACAAACTTTTCCAAATCATCATGAACAATTGGAGTTTTCACTTTTGTCCCACACCAATCATCATCTGTTTCTATCATACTAACGTTGTTGCCTCCATGAATCGACAAAGGATTGGTATTGACATTAGGTGCAGCTAGTTGGAGAGAAACCACATCTTGGTCAATTAAATCCTGAATATTGTGCTTATGGTTGATACAGTCCTCAATATCATGCCCGACATTATTGGAATGATAAGCACATCTCTTATCTGGCCTATAGAATTTTGAATTGATATCCACGGGTTTGGACCCCACTAGGTGTATAGATCCGGCCGCAGCCAGTCGCTCGTACAGCTTTGTTCGTCATTCTGCGAGTGCAGTGAAATTCCACAAAGGTTTCTTCTCGAATCGAGGTCGAGGGTATCATAACTTTCTTATGGAGGAGGTATTTGTGGATAACTTGTATTGTTCAAACGGGGAGCTTGATTTTTGGGATATGAGTTTTTCTGGTAGTTTGGCATTGGAGCTTGGTAGTTTGGGTGGGTATTTTGATATGGTGGAGCTTGGACTTGATACGCAGGAGGGGGTGCTCAGTAGCTCGACTGCACTTTAGCACAATTCGGAGCAACACCCTAGTAGGGAGATGGAATTTGGTAGGGTAAGGATGATTTTGAGTTAATGGGAGATGAATTTGGGTATTTCGGCGGTGAACTTTGGTAAAGTGGAGCTTGGACATTTTGATAAGTGGAGGTAGCATTTTTATAAATTGGAGGATTATTAGGATGACTAGCTTGCGTGTAGCAATCTTGGTAGGAATTTCGGGAAAGCCGAGAATGACCCTGTGAATATGATGATATTCTAGGGGTTTTCTTTCCCCCATATGAAACAGCAACGATTTATTCTCTTCTCCTCTTCAACATTCCTGATGATCCAGGTGATGCAGAAACACGGGCTATCTTTCCCATTTTCAACCCATATTCGATAGTCTCACCAACTTTGACTATCTCGAAAAAGTTTTCTCCAATGAGCAAAAGGTTTTGATCATAATACTCGGGCTCTTGCACCCGCACGAACACTTCTACAATTTTTTCTTTTCCGACATAAGCGGTCTGACCCTTGCAGCTTCTTTTCTCCACCTATAAGAAGATTCTATGTAGCTCTCACTAGATTTCGACTTCATCTTCTCCAAATAATATCAATCAGGAACGATTTCAACATTATATGCAAATCGATCGAGTAAAATCCTTTGCTAGAGCATTCTAGCTGGGCCATTGTTGGGTTTCATGGGAGGTGAACCACTCCAGAGCCTCCCCGCTCAAACTTCGGTTGAAGATCCACATTAATAAAGCTTCAACCCTTCCAACTCCCACGAGCTAGTAACAGTAGGCTCTCAGATGAGCCATAGGGTTGCCCACTCCTTCAAAGGTGTAAAACTTCAAGATCTTGAACCCTTTTAGAAGGTCCAGACTCGGGTATCAGAGATGCATTGAAGCTCTTTCATAACCTTATTTATCTCTTCTTTTATGTCCACATTTTCCTATTCATTTGCCCTCCACTCCCTTTCCTGTTCCTCATGATGGTCCAGATCAAAATCGTGCACATCTTGTTTGACAGGGACGGGAATTTGGAAAGTTCTTCTTTTAG